AAGAATTGGTTGTTAATGAAGCGTAGTATATCTCCTTCTGGTCACCAGTCGAAGAGATTATCCCATGTGCGATAAGGATCTAGACCGGTGACGCAGGCGTGAAAAGGTGGGCACATACGGGTGTGTCCATCCACAGAGTTTGCTAGCCGCGATCTTCACGAAGTCGCATATGGCATTTTTAGTTGGCGCCTCTTTCTTCGGCTGGAGATTGTGTCACGTGCGGGAATGCGAATAGCCGGCTTCCCGCAAGCGCCCCGGTCGGTATACGGGGCGGATTAAAGACCTGCCTCGCTGACAGGAGGGTGTAAAGATAAAAGAAAATCAATGATTGGTCGCGTGGGCTTCCCTTTGAGTGGATTATAACCAGCCTAATTTCGACCACCCCCTCAATTTTCTTTGATTGATAATAGTTTAGACAATACACGATTCATTTCCATAATTGACCTGTCATGGCCTTGGAATAAGCTGGACTATATCAAAGGCAAAGCAAAGGGAAATATACAACATGAACATATTTTTTGAGAATCGACAAACGTGGATAACAATAGTTTCGAAAAGGGAATCGACTATTGATCTTTTGCTCTTAAAAAAAAGGCTTTTAAATATATCTTATGTCATTTTGACTAGCTTTGATGGTCACAACATAATGTATTGTACGGTATGTCTGTGTTTGAACTGATAATGGAAATGAACGAAAAATTTAAATTAGTTTTGTCAAATGTTCTCCAAACAAATTTCTTAATAATCCGCTGTTAAACAAATTAAAACAAAGAGAATATTACTACCAGTTAATTGTTTTATTTATTAATCTAACAATTAGTTACATGTAAGATAGGGAAAATCTAATTAAAAAGTGAGGTACTCGTGCATGCAGTCAGCCAAAAATAAATAAATTTCTTGTTACAGTAAATAATATGCATTAAATGTAAAGTGCTCCAAGAATTATGATACTTAGCTAAACAGCAACCATTTTAATCACTCATTCCTGTAAATAAAACATAACATTTATCCAACTTTACGAAAATAAAAATATATTCTTTTAGTATTAGTTTACATAATACACATTCCTCATTTATTCCTCATATCCAATCTCAATCCTATATTATTATCATTGTTTTGTTTTGCTACATCTTACACCTCTTTGTGCTTAAACTAAACGCAACAACTTTTTTTTAATAATAAAGTATGACTATACCCCGTAAAGCCAGGGGCATCACATACATAACGCTAATTTATCTTTAGCTGGGGCGTTTTCTTGTTGTAGAAAAACAGATAAATCCCATTAGACATAGCAACGCCCAATCGAGTTATTCACTTCCCAAAAGAAAGGGGGGAAAAGGAACGCAGTTGTAGGCTAACTTCTAATTTAACTCTCTCGTTTAGGGATTACTCGTCAACTGATTAAGTTTTCGTCCAATCTACGATGAGGCTATTCCGACACAATACTTGTTAACATGTCTCATGTGGGTTTAGCTTCCTCTATGTTTCTCCTCCGTTTTCCCAATGTCATGGAGTCGTTTTCTTGGAAGTAAACCACCAAAAGAATTAAAAAGCTGCCATCTTAGAAGTGATGTTAATATAGATGATAGGGAATGTTTGGTATTTGATGTAAATTAAGGTAAAGTTCCCTCATCTTCTTCGCCTAGCTTCCTGCTGGGGGAGGCTTGGTTTTCAACAGGAGAAGAAAAAAAAAAGCGGAGGAAAAACTTGATTTAATCAGGGATAAAGTCTTCTCCACACCTCCGGGACAATCTTATCGAAGGGATGGCTTCTTAGATACTCAGGCTTGACATATGACTTTTCCCTTTTGGATATGAAGAAGGAAAGACATGAGGAATGGAAAGAAAGAAGAAGACAAACAGGAGGAAATGCACTCGGTGGAGGAGAGGAGGGCTGGATTGATTGGATACGTGTTTCTTTGCGGGAATTCGAGTCGCGAAAGCCCGCGGATTTAGCTTAGTACAGCCGTCTGCGCACGGGCACACACTATCCCTTTACATTAATTAATCAGTATTCATTTTTGAAAAAGCACACATGCACACGTGGAAGAAGACGGTCAAGAAATACGTATCGCTAAAGGGGGCTTGCTACCTTCGAAACTTTTAGAGCTGGCACTCATGAAATGAGAAGATGACAAGATGAGAAGAAGACTTCAACACCCAAGATTCTTCATTTGATCAAGTTTAAACGCTGGTAACCCTCACTAAATCCGTGCTCTCGTTTTTTATTGTAGAGCAAATTACACATGAAATGCGCGCCGAAATTCGAATCGGGATGTCTTTGAGTCATTTGTTTGAAGAGTGGCTTGATTTGGCAGTCAAATAGCGTTTAATTCGTTTTGCATTCTCGGCAATTATTTGAGCAAACTAGAAGTAAGGACTGATCGGCGTACTCCGCTCACACGCTCAGATAATATGATAGGAATAGACTGCGAAAGTCAAAACACTGAGGAAAAAGAAAAACATGTACGAGAAAAAGATTGAGATTAAAGGAAATGAATGAAATAACATAGAAAATGGAAAATGGTAAAGGATAATGGTAAAAAGAAAAACAATTGAAGACAAAATTAATTGCTTGTGTCTTAATTTAAAAGAGAAATCACTTTAAAAGAGAGAATTCTCTTTGGCAGGTGACATCCAATTTTCGTATTTTATTTTGTATTTTCAATTTCTTTTACTCTTTTATTAAAACCTAGAATGTTCCATAAGATAAGGGATAGCACATCATTAATAAATGTTTGAAACAATCACATCTAAAACAAAGTTCTACTTGGTTTAACATTAAAAATATGTCAAGATTAGCGTCTGGTATCCTCACTGAGTGTCGTGCTGGTGAATGTAAAACGCCATTGTAAAGTCATTTATATAAAACAAAATGTAAAAGGAGTCTAGGGAGAAACGGAAATACATAGTTAAGTTTGCCTGAGTGGGCTTTTAAAGTATTCAACCATCTTAATGTTATTACCGAAGAGCTAAACGTAGCTCAAATTGAGATTTATTTGATAACTGTTACACCTCCCTTTTCATGACTCGTTGATTCGGTAGAGCCAAATTCACTTTAGTCCTCTTCATATGCGTAAACAATGCTGTAATACAATTTGTCTGAATAACCAATTCGCTAATTTAATGTTCTCCGCCTTGACAAAACTCTTGCTTGCGTGTGAGTCTTTCTTCGGCAAGAAAAAAAAAAGGTTGTTCTCCGTATTTATTGAGAGATAAAAGGGGGTGTTTGGGAGGGGAAAGAATGGATGAAACGTGCTCATTTAGATTTGTGAGAAGTTAAGCTAATCAATTACGAATGCAAATTCTCTTGTTGAGAAGGCTACGTCTCAATTTTACAGTTGTAGGTACGCGATTTGACGAGACCTGTCAATTATTATTACATACAATTATTTCTAAAAATCATCGAAGTTCTAATAAATGCTTTGGTGATTAAAACGTTTTCTGCTGTTTTAAATGTAGTATTCTGTTCTTAAACTGCGGGTATTTAAGCCTTTCTTGTTATTTTTGCTTTGTTTTATTTTCTTAATAACACTTATAGAACTTAAGACAAGTATCTACCACATTCGGAATGCATATTATGATAATCTTACACGTTCACTTTCGTATATAATTTACTGATCATGAAATGCTTTCTTATCTACACTGGACGGATTGAATTCCACATGTCTACTTGCTGGACACTTCGTCGATTGCCCGGCACAACGTATTTTGTTCATTATCTCTAGAAATTCTTGACTATTACATCAAATATACTTTTACACTTTTCTTATTGTCATGATAATGAAATAAAATTCTAAGAAAAATTGTTTTACAAAACTTTTAAACGTATGCTTCCGTCAAAATAATGGAAGTTAAAAGTATGAGATTCGAAATATTTGGCCATATTTTAACAGAATAACATCTCGTATTAGGGATTGTTCTGTTAATCTCACTGAATAATCTCTGATTATTAATAACAAAGTTAGTATATCTTCACTTGAAAATTTCAAAGAATTAGGAGACCAAGCAAACAAATATTTCTACCCTTCAAGATTCATTTATATTTAAATTAAGATATCTAAATATCAGTATTAACACATACAGTGATTTTCCTTTCAATGTATGGTTTATTAAATAGGAACCTTATGAATTATTCGTATGTATTTTTTCTTCAAATCAAGAACCATTTTAATGCAGACGACATCCCTTTGGTTTTATTGTAATGCTTCAAGTAATAAAAGTAGAATATATTTTATATAAAGCTGAACATGCTAAAATACACTATTAACGGCCATAAAATCCATCCCATGCTTTAGCAAAAAATAAAAGTAAAACTTGCTTGACAAAATCAATGTGGTGATGAATGAGAAGCTTGCACACCGCACATACTTTAAACATCAAAATTTCATTTATTAGAAGAGACGTGTGTGCGTTGAGCATACTTCGAAGGTAAGATGAGCGAAAATAAACAAATAAAGATCGGAAAAGTGGTTTAGTCGATGTTGAGGTAGAAATTGTTCGAATTAGTGGGGAGTCCGAATTGATAAACGGACCTAATGTCATTGTTGGTCGCGCGCGCGGCTGGTTAACGAAATTACCAAATAATTTACCAACAAATCAAATCAGAACAGGATAAATCACATAATCAACCATCATCAACGACACTAAAGCGCTCAAAAAACAAACCTAGGCAAAATTGATCGAATTATCTTTGGTGTAAATGTCGTTATGTAATTTAGCGAACTGCAAACTGTATTTGGGTTTGATCAACTTAGTTATAGGTTGGTAGGGACCGGGGAAAGAGGGAGTGCTAGCTAGACGAGCGTCGATCGCTCCGCGCCTAATTCTATCATTGACGAGGGAATTTAGAGATATACAATTGACTTGGAACGATTTGATCAGCAATTGGGAACGGGAAGAGGGGATAGCAAGAGTGACATTAGTTCTGTCTGACACTTCCATCTAGTTTTAGCCAATAATCGTTATCATCAAACAGAGAAATTATTTTGGATTACTTACCACTGGAATACGGCGAGCATTGTGACATTTGCTGGTGCTCCATCATCGATGCTAGGTTGCATGTACCGGCCATGCTGCCTGCTCCTGTTCCGTAGCCAACCGATGGTCTCAGGCTGCTGTAGGGGTAGGCTTGGGCTGGTTGAGAACTCACAGAACCAGGGAACTCTCCATAAGAAGTCGGGATACCCAACCCGGCACCCTCCACCCCGCCTAGACACGAATCATAGGCATTTTGACCCAGGTATGACGAGTAATCCATCATGCTACCAGAGCGACTAAACACCACTTGACGATCAATTTTGCCGAAATTTCTTGACAAAGGTGGAACCCCAAATTGTGTTAAAACAAGGAAAAATTAGGAGAGATTGGGATAGTTTTATTTGAATCGGTAAGTTTTTGTTCTAGAGGATGTTGATGATGATGATGATGAAGAGAGAGAGAGATGAAGATGAGAGACGAGCGATGTGATGTGATAAGATGAGATAAGACGAGTCGATCTAATTGAGAGATGAAGATGGTGTTTAACTCAGCTTGTCTGTGACGTAGTCAACGAGACGTCTCTTGATTGGCCAGTTAATGCTGTTCGTATTTGTACAGATAAGGAGCCTTTCGTGCTGGTTTCAAGACTTTTCAAAGAGAGATAAGAATCGGTCTCTATGATCATGTCATACGGGTAGTTTTTTTGTATAAACTGTAAGTACTTCAAATTATTTACACAATCTGCAAACAGCAAAAGGGTATTGCGATAAAGCTATGTCATCGGTAAAACTCGTATTAGAGACGAAGTCACTGATGCCTTGAAGACACGCTAAATTCAACTGTCAGATGAGCGAAATGGTTAGACTGAAGACGAGACTAGCTTGCAATCCATGGACCAGGCGAAGCCAAGTAATCACAATTTAATGCACTTAGGGAAAATATCGAGAGATGGCTTGTAATACCCAGTGCATTTAGATGCTCTGAGATGAAGTTTCCGCGCGCGATGTCGGAGGTTGCAAACAGTGAAGTGAGACATGTTTTGCAAGGAGACGAGGAGAGAGAGAGAGCGCGCTTGGAGTAGCTCCGTGTAAAGTGTGTGTGTGTGCTCGGTTGTGTGTGTATACGCGCTGTACATGCAAAGATCCGTGGCGTCACGAATACCAGCACCGCTACCACCGCCACCAACATCGGTACTGTCACGTGATAGAATCACTGGGCGTATCTCATCTTTGCACCGCTGATTTGTGTGTATGCATGCCCCGTGGCGCCCAGCAAGCCCTTCTTATTTGGTGCATCCTAGAAATGTACTCTCTCTTTCATCCCTTTCGCGCGACATGTGTAAACTGCTAGCTGACAGGAATCCCCCAGGCGCCAAGCTCCGCTACCCCTACCCCTGCTAGAGCATTGCCTACCACCCGGTAGCTACCCCATACCTGCTTGTATCGCTCATTCCTTCATATTCTTTAAGCACATGACTGTCGAACGGCACTTAATGTCGAGGTTTTTTCCTCAACTTATACTAGGTGATCGCTAAACAATACTCCGCCTGTCAACTCACTCTTTCTCTATCCCCCCTTTTCTTTCGTACACTTCCCGCCAAGTTTTCTAATCGTAATTAGTAGATGGTCCTAGCGGGATTTTACCTTTCTCGCCTTGTTAGAAGGGCTGGGAACATATAAAAGCACCGAGGTTTGACTTAGAGCCCGGAGATGTTAACAAGGGTATCGGGGGGGGGGGGGGAGCGGAGGAAGTTTTATAACGCTTCTCTTGCTTGCTCGAGAGGGCGTGGCTTTCCCCATGTTACCGTCATAGTTCATTCGGTGAAGAAAAATACATTTATATGAGTTATAGTAGGCATATGGGGTTGTCAACTTAGTAACAAGTATACATTTACAGAAATACACTTCACCCAACATCTGTGTAACTCATTAGGATAATTTTATAATTCCGACATGGGCTTGGAAATAATACTATTGTTATGATCACTGCTTTTTGTCGGTAGAATGCTTTAGACTTATCTCTGCCTCTCTCTCAAATTCTTCTCTTTGACTATGTCCCCTGTCTGTAATCTTTATTTACAACCCTTTCAGCTTTCTTACTCTCTTTTCTCTCTTTCTCCTGCCCCTGTATCATAATATTCAATTTCATTTTCTCTCTTTTTGAAAAAATATTCTACTTATTCTGTAACTGCTCGGAGTCTTTTGTGAAACATAAAGCACGTAGTTTCACCTAAAGTACCCAAGGACCTTTTTATTTTCCTGCGCTCATGTACTCCAAAAATTGAAGAAAACCACTGAAGTGGAAGTTAGTGATGGAAAAGTAGCGCTCTTTCCAAACTTTTTTCTATCTTCTAACGATTTTCATATTCCCCCTACGTCTAATACAATAAGTTCAAACAGATAGAAGCAATTTCCGCCGCAGGTAGGGAGTTAATCAAAATTTCTACTAGACCATTCTAGCCCTTGTCATTGTGACTCTATACGCATGAATGCATTCTATACATCAGCAAAACCTTCTATCGACCTTTTTATTTTTTACTCATACTTTGGGGAAAGAAGAGAAAATATATTTCAAACTGAAAATGGCAGTTGTGGAAAGCTTTACAAAAGAGCGCGAGGGACTGAGTGAAATGACGACGGAGTTTTGTAGGTCTCCCTGCTGAATACTGTATTATGAAGGTTGAAAAAAGACACACCTCTTATTAGATTGCCAGTCCAAGGTCGGTCTCACTCAACTTTCTTTTGCCTCAGTATCATTCTCGCAAATGACTTATTTTTTACCTCTTGTCATAATTACATTTGATTCGAAGTACACTTCTTTAACCGTGTGGTCATAAATTGGCATAAAGGAAAGTACAAATCAACCATTTTGCTTGTATTTGCAAGGAAGCAAATATATACTCTTAATTAGTACTACTTTGTGGGAATGAGGGCATGCGGTAGAAGGAACAATATATTCCGGGGGGAAAATAACCAAGTCGTTTTGTTAAGTTTGTCGCTCAACCAGAGCGCGAACTTTATATTAGAGAACATTTATGATACCAATCAAAACGAAGAATAGCGTGGTGATATACAGATCAACAACTACCACCAAATCTTTGTTAAAGCATATTTCATTTTTTAAATCGAAAAATTACAAACATATATAGCCTATCCATATATATATATTCAAATTCTTAGTTCAGTTTATATTCAGTGTTAATTTAATTTTTCATCAGGTAAATAAGCTCTTGAACTTAATCAAAATGTTTGATTAAAATTAGAGCAAAAACGTTTTGTATTTATTAAAATCAAAGCCATCTTATACCTTGTATGTTATCTCTATTTTTCCCCTAAAACTTAAAAAAAAATCACTCATCTAAGTGTTTAAACTATATTCATTATATTATGGATTCTTTTGTTTTTTCTTTCGTTTTGGTGCAAAAGTGATGGAAAAGAGATGGATTTTGTGTTCATTTACAAAAAGCAAATGTACTAATATATTTGAGTATTAAGATACTATGCATATCACACACGCACATTTTGTGAGTGTGTGAATTACACAGAGCTATACAAGATTGGTCATCTTGGTAATCTGAATTACATGGAGATGCAATATATATATATTAATTTAAGATGATTGATTTCAGATAACTGCCAGAAGAGTAGAAAAGAATAAATCACTGAAAATAAATAAGAAGGTTAGATGGAGAGCAGAAGAGAGGAAGAGAGAAGAAAAAAAGGGGGAATGTGGAAAAATGGAGGGAGGGAGGGAGAGGCTGGGGGAAAGGATGAGAAGGGGGGATAAACAGAGTCAAACAAGAAAAACGCGCGCCAAAAACCCATATTATTCAGAGACCAAGAGTTTTGTAAGAGGGAAACAATCCGTTTGGACGTGGTAGCACTATCTGCTAATGACATCGAGTAATTTACTAAATTGATTTTTATTTCTCATGTAAATAACGTCTCTATTTTGGGGCAAATAAAGTGTACCTTGGAGAATTACAACAGAAAGGGGGGAGAGAGAAAGAGAGAGAGAGAGAGTTGTTCTTGGACGTCCGCATGAATGGGTGCCCCACATGACGTTAGAAAGCTAAGCGAGCTAGCTAGGGTAGGCCACTGACTCACTAAACTAACATAACGTTAGAATAATTGGACTATGGTTGCTGATCACGAAATTGCTTCATCTAATAAACTTTCCCAAAATTACATTTTTTTGTGTGTGTTGATTGATAATTCTAAGTATACCTTGTAGATAACCTGGCTAAAAGTGTAGTGAGTGCCATTGTGATATAATTAGAGTCGTGATTATTGAAATAAATACTGAAAACTAGATTAAGACTTTTATTAACGTTGTTAACACGTTGCTGACGCGCAGCCGTACAAATGAGTTATTAATCTTCAATTATTTGTATATTACATGTGAAGATATGCTGCTAATATAAGCGGACTTTGAAAAAGTGGGGGGGGGGTGGAGTAATACAATTATAGAGATCAAAGAAAGATGAAATAAATGCATTTTATCCTTGTTCATATTTATAGAAAACAGTAAAATCGAGAAAATTACACCACTTTATATAATCCATGTAAGTCATATTAATATCATATCAAAATCGTATATTGATTTTCAAGTTAAGTGATGGGGATAGGACTCAAACTAAATTTATTTCCTTGAAAATAACATTCAAAGTCATGGGAAAATTGTCTCATGAATACGATTTTCCTTATATTGTCAACCTCATAATGCAGACAGGCTATTCTGAAAACCTTTTTAAATCCAGTGTTTGAAGGATAAAGTGCTTTGCTTTAGATCATACGATCCAATGCTTCCCAAACACATATCTTTTATTTTTCTGGAGTATGTCTATATTTTACGAAAGTCAATGGCTCCACCGTGTTTATTCGTGGAATTGTGCCCTCTTTCATTTGGTGATATTAAGCGTGATGATATGCAAACAGGGATGTTATATCATTGCTTTTTACGATGAGTAGGTAGAACTTTCATGCATGGACGAGGAGGTGTGATGTATCGAAAACAAACATTGATCTCGCAGTCTCAAGCGGTTGCTAGGCTTCATCGCACGCCCAGCTCTGGCGGTCGCCGCCAGCAAGGTTCCCGCTGTCTCGCTATTCCCCATAGAATCAAAAAGAGGAAAAATTATTCTCAGAGCTTTTAATCTAAACCCGATTTTACGCAGTTTTGCCCCAACTTGTGTACTCGCTTGTGGTAAAGCGGGGAATACACAGCCTCAGTGATTACTTAAAATGGGGAAAATAGTCCCTCGTGGGATAAGAACGCATTTACCCATAGCAGTGGTTAATATCCAGAAATCAGAGGATTTCAT